CAGGGATATTCTGTAACTTCCTATCTCTGCCTCTCTCCGCACACAGTGACCCCTACTGGCCGGTGCTGGTATTGCAGCGTAATTTCCATTTATTCTAGAAAATTACCTGCATTTGTATTGCCGGTATTACTGCAATACTGGCACGGCCAGGGAGCCTCAAATACCATCTGTGCCATTAAAATACCAGTCAGGTGGCAAACCTAAGAGTAGTGTGTAAAAAAAAAAAAAGAAAAATTATTTTTTTTTTTTTTTTTTTAAATAGGCCTATTCCATGGGCCTGGGCCTGGGCCTGGGCCTGGAGCTGCAGCTCCATCAGCCCCTATGTTAATCCGGCCCTGTTTGGGGGGGGCCCAATGGAGGGTACAACATGATGTAGGGCCCCCTCTGCCCTCCCCTAGCGACGCCACTGGATATAAGGAAGTTAATAATGCTTGCAAAAAGGCAATTAAAGTGCTTAAACTATAAAATGAGAAATGGATAGCCAAAGAATGCAACCCAACCACAAAAATATTAATGAGGATCCCATGGCAAGAGATATGCAAATGACTGCTGCAAAAACTTGCAGATAACTTGTGATTGGATGACTCGAGACAAGGTGCTACAGCAGTTAAAGAAAATTAATGTAAATAAAGCTCCGGGGCCTGACGGTATTCATCCACTAGTACTTAAAGGACCACTATAGTGCCAGGAAAACACTCGTTTTCCTGGCACTATAGTGCCCTGAGGGTGCCCCCACCCTCAGGGTCCCACTCCCGGCCGGCTCTGGAAGGGGGAAAGGGGTAAAAACTTACCTTTTTCCAGTGCTGGGCGGGGAGCTCTCCTCCTTCGTTCCTCCACGTCGGCTGAATGCGCACGCATGGCAGAAGCTGCGCGAGCATTCAGCCGGTCGTATAGGAAAGCATTATCAATGCTTTCCTATGGACGCTTGCGTGCTCTCACTGTGATTTTCACAGTGAGAATCACGCAAGCGCCTCTAGCGGCTGTCAATGAGACAGCCGCTAGAGGCTTTGGGGGAAGGCTTAACCCATTCTTAAACATAGCAGTTTCTCTGAAACTACTATGTTTATAAAAGAATGGGTTAAGCCTAGCTGGACCTGGCACCCAGACCACTTCATTAAGCTGAAGTGGTCTGGGTGCCTAAAGTGGTCCTTTAAGGATCTAAGTGGGGAAATAAGTGAACCTCTTTATTTAATCTTTCAAAAAAAATTTGTTTCAGATATTGTACCGGAGGATTGGAGGAAGGCAGATGTCATTCCTATATTTAAAAAAGGTTCAAAATCCTTACCTGGAAATTATAGATTTGTGAGCTTAACTTCTGTGACTGGGAAAATATTTGAAGGGCTATTAAGGGAATTCATTGGGAATAACTTTATTAGCAATAATCAGCATGGTTTTATTTAGTTTGGAAAAGTGGTGCCTCACAGGGGCTATGATAACATTATACAAATATATTTGGGGCCAGTGCAAACCATTATCTGGAAATCTATTCATAAACAGGGCTATACATGGTGCACAAGGTCATGCATTTAGGCTGGAAGAGAGGAGATTTAATCTAAGGCAGAGGAAAGGTTGTTGTTTTTTACAGTAAGAACTATAAGGATATGGAATTCTCTGAGAGTCTATACAGATGTTTAAACAGCAATTGGATAAATAGTTCCAAAAACATAACATACAGGGATATAGTTTCTAATTAGTGGGGTAATAGCTGCTTGATCTAAGGAGACATCTGAATGCCACTTTGGGGTCAAGAAGGGACTTTTTCCTAGTTTGTTGCAAAATTGGAAGCGCTTCAGACTGGGTTTTTGCCTTCTTTTGAATCGACAGTAAAACCATATGTGAGGAAGGCTGAACTTGATGGACGCAAGTCTCTTTTCAGCTATGTAACTATGTAATATGTATGTACAGGGCTGTCACATAATTGGTTAATTTAATAGTTGTAGTCTCAGCTGCATTATATGCCTTAAGAAAAGAAAATCCAGAGAATTAGGGGGGTGGGTGGAACTAGCCTTTTTTTGTGTCTTGACAGGGGATAAGAACACATGGCCCCCAGAGATAATTAGCTCAATCTAATTTACATTCCTCAGTCAGAGCTCTGGTATTCCATCCCAGTTCCTATTGTCATTGATGTAAATAATTTGTAAAGTGTGTGTGTGCGTGTGCGCGTGTCGGGGATTACACATACAGATAAACCCTCACACAGATACATATACACACTGACAGATACACACACTGATGCAAACACAAGTAATTATTTCCAGACTTTTTGCGTGCAAGTGGGTGGCTTCCCAGGTGTAACGGAACCGCTGGCACCCCGACCGGGCACCTTCCGCCGACGGATGCTCCTAGTGCTTTCCGAGGGCTCCAAGCACTCTGCCCGACACCATAACCACTGCAGACCCCACGAACCGCCGCAGCTTGGTTGGGGTCTCGCCATCTCCACCCACTTTGGACCCAAGACCAGGGTCTAGCTTCCAGTAGGTCGACCTCTCCGAATTCCAGAGAGCAGGAACAGGAACAAGCACTTAGCAAAGCTTAGTGATTATACCCTGGGGAGTGTAGTTTCTCCAATCCCCCAAACATGAGCTGAAACTTCATGAAGGTACAAGATGATCTGAGCTTTTAATGGCACATACTCGGCTTTTATGCAATTCTCCCCTGCAAGGGAGACGCCCACAGACAATTATACAATACCCAATCACACAACGGTTACATCCCACACATCTCCTCCCCTTAGCCTGAGAGGTAACCCAATTATCCATACATTTTAAAACACACTTTTTACCCAACTTTCATAACTCCAAAACTATACATCCAATATTCATAAACTTACATATTATTAATCAGCACACTTTAAATATAAACATAACCAAAAATCAGCCAAATCCATCCAGGGGTTAAAAAGTTAGCTGGAGGTCCCTTTATGACAGACCGCAAGCACATTTTCCTGCCCAAAACAGTTCCATAGATTTGGGCTGTGCGGTCGGTCTATTTCAGGCTGAAAAATCGACTAAGTCCCATCACCGAATGGGACTTAGTCTCTGCGGCTGTAAAATAGTTGTGGGAGAAGGTAGGGCTCAGCGGTGTTCGCGGAAATGTGTAGCCGATTTTAGTTCCATGAATTTGGCTACACATACCGCTGACCTCGTGCAAATGATGCCACGTGTTCGGCAGACGAACGAAGGCCACCCAGCATTGTCAATTAAGCTGCGGTTAACTTCTGGGAGGTGAATTGCCGACACACTCCCAGGTGGTCCGTCTGTGTGGTACTTGGTTCAGTAAGGCCCATTTACTGAACCAAGTGGGAAATAGCTGGGAACAAAGGGTTTTAACCAGGTCTGGGGACACAGGGGACACCGTCTTAAAGGGGCAGTGTCCCAAACAAGTCTGGGGACACCGTCTTAAAGGGGCAGTGTCCCAATCTTCCCGATGCCCCAAAAAGGTGCTTAAAGGGCCAGCACCAGTCCCATAAACCACAAGGCAGGTCTTAAAGGACCAGCAGCAGCACAATATAAATCCATTAGCCCAAATAAGGTTTGTAAAGTGCCATACAACCCAGGGCCGTAGTCATGAGGCAGGAGGCTGGCACTCAGGCTCCTCCAACAGCCAGGGGCAAAGGGCAACTTGTCACCTAAAAATCTAGTGACAAAAGGCATTTCGTCACACCTGGCATCTAGTCTGCTGACTGAGGATGATGGGAGTCTGGAGCTACTGGGAGTCTGTTCCTTTCTCAGTGTGCCTCCTCTCTGTATCCAGTCTTCCTTCGCCTCTATCTGATCTGCTCTCACTTCCTGTGCTGCTGTTAAAGAGACACGGTGCACAGCTGGGCCCCTGATCAGAGATGCCCATTGAGTGTCCCTAAGTGAACACCCAATGGCACCCAACAACATGCGGGCCCCAGTGCAACCACAAAGCTTCAAGTTGGCTAGGGAGTTCCCTCAGCTGATCTGCCAACAGCAAGTGACTGGTTCGCCAGTTTAGTGTTATGTCCCCATGCCCCCAGGTTTAGATTTAGTGTGGCAGAAGATGTTAATCCTAAACTGTCAAAAGAAGGCCTCCATCAAAATGTTCTCAAATTACAGAAAACAAATGACGGTCAAATTGTGTTAGAAGTGGAGTCTATTCAGCCATTTGGTTAACTAGGCAATGTTGTGACCTCTGGGAGGTCATTGTCAAGCCCAGGCATAAGTGTGCGCAGGGGGTGAGCCAGGCACACCCTAGTACAGGGCCAAATTGTCCTTTCTTTTGTATAAGGTGTGATTAGTTTATTATTTTTTAGCTTAATGTTTACAGACCCTGTAAAATTCTTAGAGCCTAACACTATAGAAAACAGATTTTTGGATAAATCAAAACTAAGGTAATATAATTTGTAAAATATAAAAATAACTTTTCAGTGTAGTTTGAAGTTATAGTACCTATGTAAGTAGCTAACAGAAGAAACACTATTTAGACGAGTGAAAAGAAAGAAAAAAAAGAGTTGGAATTTTTGAGACTTGTTTTACTTGGTTATATTGCAAGCCAGATTCCCTTTATATAACATTTTTATTTCATAGAATAATGTTTGTAAAAGTAAAATAAAAAGCGAAAAACAGCACACCCAGCATACTTTGCCATATAATATAATACTGTAAAGTGCTGTGGAATAAATTAGTGCCATCAAAATGCCCCCCAAAAATAATAAAATAATATAGTGAACACTCTAGCCAGGCTTCCATGGCATCTCCAGGCCTAGCTAATTTTATCACCAAGCAACGGTTTCCATGGCAACAGTGACGGTTCCCTGACGTCACGGATCATGAGTCATCCTTCGCTTCCCCTTGGACGCTTGGCAAGGTGACATCCATTATGTGCGTGGAAATTTAATAAGCTTAAACCGGCCGCCAGTGCTACGTAAATGGCGTCTTGCTTGTCTCCTCTCGAGTTTTAAGTTTCTGAAACATGTCTCCTGCAGCGATTAATTCGCCACAGAAGCAAAAAAATGACCTTAAAATATAAGCTTAACCCCCCCACCTATTATTACTGTTGGTACGTTCCACTTTTATCATCCCGCCTTCTTCAGTTAGGATGGCCACGCCCCTAACCCCCGCTTTTGCCTGCACCACGGTGAAATGCATTGTGGGAAACTCCCTAGCTCGTTCCTACAGAGCATCAGTTAAGGACCAAACAAGGAGGTAATGCATTGAAATATTTATATACATTTATATATCCAAATAGTGTAATAATGGAAATTATGATTAATAATGTCATATTATAGAGAACAAAAACCCAATATTACTATTAATATTTGCAATGCTACCATTTTATGTCTGTTTATACTGCCCCAATATCATTATTATCATTTATATTTAGGTATGGGGATATAAAATTAAATTATCAATAGGAAACATTGGGACTTTGCATTATCACTGCAGAGTTTCTAATTCAGATTTATGCATTGTTAAATATTTGCTCCCTTATTAGGTCTAAACTTACAAAGGTCAGTTAATACAGGCACAATAACAGGATTGTTGGCTCAGTTACAATAAGACATTATTGTGCAGGTAATTATGTAATTCTAATATTTCTTGTTCTGATACCCTAGTATAAATGTAATATTTAGCTATTATTAGCAGTTCAATTTCAATGACAAGCCATGAAAACATATTAAATGTATATATTTTATGCAATAATAATAATTATTATAATTATTATGGCTTTTGTTTTAAGTTGGGGGCATATTATAATACTATGCTTCAGTGCTTGATTATTTATTAACTACAAAATAAATTAGGAGGGCTGATACACTATGCTTTGTAGATGGAATTAACTGGTGATCTACAAAATGTAGGCCAAGCTATTAGTTTTGAGGAAACCTTTTAATTTCAAGGAGTTTTGATGAAAAGCCCCTTTAAAGTTTATCAATGGGTGGGATGCTTCAATATCCATAGTCCTGAGCAGCTGTTTACATAAATCCTGTCTTTTTGTGCTTTGCACAGAATTGATATTACAAATGCAGGGTAAATCCCAGGAGCCAAGTTACATTTTTTTTTAGTTATGCCCTTCTCTGGAATTGTAGAGAAAAGCATATTTTAGCCCAAATGAGCCAAGCCAGAAAAATATAGCAGACCTGGAGAATCCTTTCATTTTTTTAGTTTATAATTCCCTTTGACAGTTATTCACAATTACTAGTTCGGTGAATAAACCCCACATATCTTGTAAATTTGTGAAAAAAAAGCTATCTTAGCATCATGGGAGATGTAGTTCATTAACATTTGGAGTGCCAAGGCTAGCCACTACAGAGTTAAATTGCAATATCATACATGATGCCAGATGATAGGAGGAAGGGCACTGGCAGAGGTGACTTACTGCGGTAGCTGCAGTTTAGAGATGGCTGCATAATATTAACCCAGTCATAGCCAAAAGTTTCAGAATACATTGTATATTAGTAAAATTTAGGTTTTTTTCTTGATTCACATATACGTTTTGAGTCATATCTGTCTATAGACATCTGTACATTAAGTGATGGACATTTGGCAAGGAGTCAAGGCTGCATTTTAGAAGAAATTATTTAAGGCTGAGTGTGCAGGACAAGGCCAGTAGGAGCTAGACAAATGACAGGCCTATCGGTGGTGTGTAACTTTCAATGCATATATGCATCCTTCTCTGTAATCTAATTACTATCCCTTAATCTCTGACTATGAACCCCTACCCATATTAATATACAGAGCTCCTTCTTTATGTCATTTACAAAAATTATAACTTGTCCAATACTTCTCTATTTAATAAATCATTTTGTTTGATAAGGAAATTGGATTGATTAGACATGCACATGTTTAGTCTGCATGCAATGCAGTTGGAAGATATTACCCATAATGCAGAAAGATACATCCTAATTAGCTTGTGATTTACTGACAGGGGCATTTGTTTTGCATATTTATATAGAGGTTGACCCATCCAGTAAAACTTTATATAGCTGGCACCATATGTAATGTAAGCTCTGGCTGGATTTAATGAGTTAATTCCCTTGCTAGCACTCCACACAAAAGTACATTTATAGAAATTATAAAAGCCCTTGATGGAACCCAAGGGAGCCTAAGTCAGAGTATGTGCTTTGGGACTTTGGTTAATGTGCCACATAAAATATATTGATTTAGAGTGTATCCGCATCTCTGTGGCATAAGAGGATGCTATCAATTGTGAAAGGATTTTAATGTTATGATTTGTCTCTAAGGGCTATATATATACACACACACAAAGTAACATTCTGACTGCAGGGTATAGTTTTTTTGCACCTTCAGAAAAAAATTATCTCAGCAAAAGAACATAATCTGTTTAACATGCAGTTTAGGAGTAGACTGTATTTGCCAGGAATCACAAAAAAAAGAATATGAAAATTAGCCTACTTCCAAAAGTAGAGAGTGTATAAAAACAGTACCTTTATTGAATGCTGAATACAATTGCATCATTTAGCCTGGGACATAGCAACAGCCAGTACAGGCAAGATCCTAATGCGGTTTGTGCCTCAGAGGCACTTCAGCAGATATATGAGCTCTGATTAAATGCCTCTGAGGCTTGAAATGCGTTAACGTCTTGCCTGTATTGCCTACTACTTACATAGCACCAACAAGTGCTACAGTGTTGAAAACATTGACTTGTAAGTATAACAAAACTTTATTTGACAGGAACAAGCCAAACAGTAGGTGCTGAGAGCTACGTCAACAAATTATACATCTTTTAACACTTTAAGGTATGTAATTTCCTGACTGCACAGTATCAGAAAACACTCACGACACAAGACATTTCTAGTCTATATGATTTTTATAGAGTGACCTAACTGTACATTTTCAGGATTAGTACATGTAATCAGACATTTCTGGTCTAGATTTAATGTAAAATTGTCTCCTGGCTGCAGATAATGAAGACAGGCTCATACAGCATTACTCCAGGCACCATGACCACTTCAGTGATTTGAAGTTACCTTAATACCTACCTTAATGGTACCTGGAGTGACATTGCAAGATTTTCCTTTTGCCTGTCTGTATGTTATTTGATTTATTTGATCAATCAGGAATTCCTTTTTTTATGTCTGAATAGGTTGTTTCCAAATGTCATTAAAGGGTTACCCTCAGCACCATGACCTCTTCAATGATTTGAAGTGGTTATGGTACTTAAAATGTGTGTGTAGCATTGCAGTTTAAAAAGCTGCATATACTGAGTTTAACCACTCTGCAGTCAGAGGTGTAACTTTACCTCCAGCAACGTCACTTAGATGTCATCAGCCAGCTTGGAATTAGTGTTCCAGTCTGGCTAATGTCAGTTCTGTGCAAATTTTGATCCACAGAATCTGATTAATTGGCTGAGTGGCACGATCAGCATCTGGTTTCTGCATCTGATTTCTGGTGAAGTGACCGTGATACACAAAATGTGTAAGCACCATCGTGGCTGTGCCTTCCCACTTCTGTACATCCCCAGCCTGAAAATTTTAAATACACTTGCAAAGTTTGTGCATAAATTTCTCCCTGCTTAATTGTCTTTCTTAATTTGGCATTCCTCTGTAAATAGGCACAGTTTCACACAATCATTCAACAAATCAAAAACTTTATTCATTTATCATTTGCCACAAATTGTAAAATCTTTAATGTGTTGGCTGCCCCATCAGTTTGCACATTAATGTGAAAACGTCAAGATAATGTTGTACAGGTATAGAGCCGATTGATGTATTATCCTTTAGTAATATGAGTACACCACCAAATTAATGTAGATCGTGATTGTTGCTTTTTCTTTTTTTATTAGAATCTTGTGCACAAAGCACCTGAATAAACGTTTCAGAAGATACAGTTTGCCATTTCTACACTATACGAGAAAAAAAGACTAAGGAGAGTCAAAGAAAAACTGCCCTCGCGCCAAAGGAGATTTCATAATGGAGGCTAAATCTAGATCTGCCAAGACAACTAAAGCTACAGGTGAGAAGAAGGAGAATCCCACACCGAAGAAGTCCGCAGCCGCCGAGGCTGCATCAGCAGCTGAATCAACCTCGGAAAACAAAGGAAATGTGGAGGAGCAAGAAGCCTCTAATGGATCGAAAGAGGGATCAGGGTTTGATGGCCTGAATTCTCTTTTGCTAGCTGCAGGAGTTACAGTAGCTGCCATTGCTGTTATTGTAGGGGCTCTGTTCCTGGCCCGAAAAAAATAAAGCATTATGTTGATGTGAGGGAACATGCTTGGGGTGGTCCAAACATGGGCAGAAATGTACAGTTTCTTCAGAGACCGTCGCATGCCACAGAGTTGTCACATATTCATCACATGCAGTCACACAGCTGTTGGGAAGAGGGGCGGGAAAGCTTTAAGGATTCATGAGCCATCATCATCTTTTGGATACTTCAAAATAAACTCTTGATCTCAATTTAGCAAAACATCACTATCCAGCGTTAATTTCCATTATATTATTTACTAAACCTGGAATTGTGGAGTATTTACAAAAAAAATAAATAAAAAAAATGCAAGCTTTAGGCCAATATTTTTGAGCTGGTAAAATAGCTGATTTGGGAGATTTTTTCCAGTTTGACTATTTTGGTCTAAAGTTTGTATTTCCCTCTTCAGATCTTCCACCGCTCCTAAGTGAATTTAACAAATTAGCATTACAGTTTTTACAATAACACTTCATATAACCAACATATTTAACTGTTTGTTTAACCAATTGCTTCTCTATTTATTTATTTAACACTATATTATACCACATTCTCTCGCATCTCTTAAAGTAAATTCTCCCTTTTTAGTATAGATCTATTGGTTTTCTAAACTCCTCTTCTGTTTATCCCACAACTAATATTTGCTAGTTAATATTTGACTACTTGCTACTTTTTAAATGTATTGCTGATGACAGTGATTCCCAATTCAGTCCTCAAGTAATCCCCTTACAGTCCAGGATTTAGGGATAACTCAATTGTGTCTAAGGTGTTTTAGACACAAGAGGGTAATCACTAAATCCTGGACTGGTAGGGGGTACTTGAGGACTGAATTGGGAACCCCTGGCCTTTGGTTTTATTTGGATTTATAACGTGGGGTACCCATTCAGATATTTTTGTTTCATCATCTGATTTTTTTTTAACTAGTCCTCCTCAGTCATATTTTGTGTTGTCTCCTACCGAGGCTCTGGGCCTGTACCATTCGTCAACATGTTTTCATCAAGTTATCTTGCCTCTATGCCATCACAAAACTATTCCATATCACTAACAAGGTTATTGACTAAAGTGGGAACGGAGTATTGAAAAGGAAACTGCACATGTTGAGCCAAAACAACAAGAAAATAAATCTTAAATCCAACCATTTTCAGCTTAACTGTTTTGGTGTAAAATGTGCAATTACTTTGACAATTCAAAGTTCACCAGATAACCAATATATCAATTGTTTAACCAGTTATATAAACTCTGTATTGAGTATTTTCCAAGCAAATGTTGGTTTGAAGTTAGAGAAGCAGGGTTTTTGCACTATATAAATGCGTAGATTGGTTTGTGGCTTGGCGCATATTTCACATTAAATAATACTTTGTAGAAGTCGATATAAAGAACAGAGGATCTATGTGGTTATTTTATATTTTCCATCTTCGTCTTAATGACTCCTCAGAGGGTGACCTTTCATAATTAAACTGGGTAAACTATTCCATCAGTTTCTAAATAACCTTTTTTTTTTCTTTCCTAGTGATAAACTAATTGTGTTGCTCAAACAATACCACCTTTTCTCTTTTGAGAATACCTCTTGCTTCATTTTAATTGAACTCAAATCTAAAACATATTTTTAAACAATCCAACATACTAACTACTTCACCAAAGAGTCTGATTTCAGGGTAAATTATGAGTACACAAAACAAGTCTTCCTATAGACAGTAAATTTAAAACTGATAAGATTTTAGATGAGCCTATATGAGATCTGCTTTATTCAACTAATCACATCGTCCGTTGTGTTAAATTAGTTTTGTTTTTAAAAGGAACACTTTGAGAACCATAAGTAATTTATGTCAATGAAGTAGTTATGGTGCTTTGAGTTCCCTGGTTCAGTCTTACTTTAGGATTTCAAACCATTTTGAATGGTTTAATAGAGATGAAGAGATTCCAGGAAACCATCAGCTTCCTCTTACTTGGTGGTCAGTTAATGTGGAAGTATTAGTTCGAGCCATGAAGGGGCGAAAGTTAGCTTATGCTCTTGGCCTACCACTGGCTGTCCATCGCTTGTAAATGTACGTTCATTTTTAATCTGTGGTCGCGATGGCTGGCCAGTAGTAAGTTGAGAAGGCAGCTGATGGGCACCTGGAGACACTACTTATTAGCAAATTTAAAAATGGCTTAACTCTGGAAGGTAAGTTGGCATAAGGGAATGCCAGGCAGACTGTTCCTTTAAGGATTACATTAACAATCTATGAAACTAATCTGTATAATGATATCCTTAAAATAAGTTAATTCCCCTGTTTAATCAATAATATTATGCCCCAAAACCAATCTTATGTATCCCTTACTTTTACTTTTCTAAAACAAGTAAAGCGTATAAATGCAATAATGCAGTTAGAATAGTAAAATACAATAAGATTTGCAGCCCATTTTTTCTGCCATAGCTCTTGTTGAATAGAATCTTAAATAAACAGAAACAACTTTAGCTTTGTTTTCTAGATCAACTTAAGGTTTCACTGTTTAAAAAAAAAAAAAAAAGAAAAGCTGGCAAATAAAATGGGCCCATATCTTTTGAGGTAGATTTAGCTTTTCCCATTTTAAACAGAATGGGGACATAATGCCTGTTTGTAAGTGTAAAGCATCCTCCATTTTAGGCACCCAGTTTTTGATAGTTGCATTTGGCATCCATGTCATAGCACGGTTTGCAAGGTGATGAAGCTAACAAAGAGGCGCAAAAAGCCATATTTTTTAAATTACACTTGAGTAAAATTATCTTAAAAAAACAGGACAGGCTTTAGCCTAACCTCATCTGCTATTAAAAAAATTAAATGAGAAAAAGAAAACAAACTAAACATGCCATTGTGGGATAAGACTAGGAGAACATTTTGGATCTCAGATAATTAAGATGTTGAGCTGCAATTGTTTTTTTTCTCCTGGTGAAAAAAATATGAATACAGCACTAATGTCAATGTGTGTTTTCTTTTACTAAATGGCCAATGTTTAAACATTTTTTATATACATAAAATCTCATTAAACGAACACTCCAAGCACCATAATCACTGCAGCCTAATGGAGTACCCTGACTCTCTCCCAGAGTAAATTGTCAAAGAGGGTCCCCCTGGTGCCCACGACACAGTCAGTCTTTCGCAGGAGGATGTAACTACTTAGCTAAGCATGGCCCAAGACAAGGCTGCACTCATTGGCTGATATAGCTCATACACCATCAGCCAATGAAAACAGCCTTTCTTAGCTCGGTGGAGCTAACTTGATTTTCTTTGCAGGATAATCGAGCAACGTGCAGTGCTACAATAGGTTTCCAAGGAGACCACGCAAGTTCTTAAATTGTTCTTAATTATGGTGCTTGGAGTGTTGCTTTAAATCCTGTGTCTGTGTAGCACGTAAAGAAAAAACACATGGAAGCGCGAGTAACAGATAATCTTGCAGTGATTATTTTTAAACATATATTGATCTGGGGCTGGAACAAGGGTTACTAAACTGTACTGAAATTTTCTGTAATCAAATAAAAAAAAAGAGAGAAACTCAAAGTATCGTAGAAAACACACATATAATGGTAAAATGTCTTGTGATAGCGTTGGTGATGATAGATTTTAGTTATGCAATAAGTATGTATTCTATTTGGAAGCAGATATTAGCACACATGGAAAATGTATAAAATATCTGTCAGGAAGTGGTTAGACAAGACCTATTAATGCTTTCGGTTACAGATTCAAAGGCAGGCGGTGAAATGGGGTTTAGTCGTCAAATCCATAATTGTGTAGAATATCATGCATTAAGTCAGACTATCAACAACAATTCCTTGTTGATTTAATGAATAAACACTAATATTACATCTCTCACGTTTTGCCACAGCAGATCTAAGGTGTGTGGTTCTGTGGATTTTGCATTGTTTTTGTACTTGGCTAACAGTTGGATGTTGGCCACTTCTGCACTTATATTACCTTGTTTGCTCAGCCTATAGCAGCTGTGTGTGTTCAGTGATGATTTTTTTAAACTTTATTTCCTGTGTCCTGGAAAAGAGGGACTTAGTGAAGTATCATGGGGTGGCAAGACTCAGAATCCATACTGGACAGGACTGGCTCAGCTTTTTGAGAATTCTTGGTAGAACATCAAAAGAGAGTAAATAAGGCACAAAATACATGCTTTGAGACACGTGTTCTTAAGGTCTGACTATGCAGAGTTAGTGATTCTAGAGGGCTGTCTAAGAACCATAACCTCTAAAATGTATTGTAGTAGTTATGGTGAGCTGGTTAGCTCAGTGCTCTCAGCATATTATTGTCATGCCAGGTTGAACAGATTTCCAGTTGCAGTGTACAATCTATGGGGGCTGGTGAGTGCCTTTGCCCATGCCAATTTGTGCCCTTCATTGGCCTGTCACCAAATTGTGAGGTATGTATATGTGCAATCTTTGTCAGATTTACATCTTTTTTTTTTGGGGAGGTTGAGTGCCCCTCCAACCCCCCACCAAATAATACAAAAAAATAATCCACAGTTGAAATAAATGAAAACTTCATTTGGTGTAAAGTTTTACAAAAGCATTTTGTGGTTAACTTTTACTCTAAGAAAAGTATGATTTTGTAGGGCACATGCTTTTTGATATTTGTAGTCCAATGCATATGAGTTAAGTCAGCAAAAAAGATATTGGGAAGGAGGCAAAGTTAATCTTTGAGGTAATTTACCTGTTCAGTTAAATGGGGAAATACCTAAACGCAAGTCTTAAACTTACTTGCAAACTTGAGTACCAAATGTACATTAACAATAATGTATATGTGGATAGTACATAGAGAGACAGTTGAGCCATGTTTTGTATGGCACTACTTGCCATAATGAATTGTACCTAAACCAAAATTTGGGGTAATGTGATGGATAAAAGTATTTTGTTAATTAGCGATCTCAGCATCTGTCAACCATTTCTATGTTTCACATGTTCTAAAGTATTTCTAATATTAATAATTTTAGTTTAGATGACTGGGGCACAATTTCTATATGTATTTAGGGGAGACTATGAGCAATTACTGCCCTGTTAGAGTAAGTCATTATGACCTGATGTATATCTGACCATATGTATGTATATCCTGAGTAACCCTAATACTTACTATTCCTTTTTTACATCCCGACCAGCACTCTTTATTTGGGGCTAGTTTATTACCTAGTTAAAATGGCACTGTAGCCCCCCTCTCTCCAAATTATATAATCTTCATGAAATACTCAGATTGATGGACTGTGTCAAAAGTTCAGACTGACGGTTTTAGGTAAATTAGTGATCTTCAGGATCTCCCATAGACCGCAATGCTGTACACTCGCGCTTGAATGAGAGTACAATGCTGACATCGGTCCCTGGCAGCTGAAATGCCAGGAGCTGAATAGGTGGGCAGGAAAAGGATGGCACCACCGGCGAGGTAAGTAAAGCTAACTTTTGTCTGCTTCACCAGACCCCAACAGTGATGTCAGCGTCAGGGGTCTTTGCAAATTATGCAAAGACTCCAGACAGTGACAGATCTGTTTTATAGATAATAAAAATGACTGCATCTACCCAAAGGCTTATTTTCAACACAGCAAAATATGGTATTTGTCTAATTTTTTAAAAAAAAAAATTGTATTTCAAGTAATGTTTTAGTAAAAGGTTCAGTTACATTTTGGTTTGTTTGATCAATAAAAAATAAATATCCTTGATAACATTGGGATTTATTTACAAAATACTGAATTTGAATAAATTGAAAACCAGTTTCTTAAAATTGTGGCTATGTAGGAGAATTATTCCAAATCAGCAATTTTGGCTTAAATTTTCCAATTTGGTTTTCAATTCAACAGTTCAATAGTAAGTGAATAAACCCCATATTATTTATCAATTCAACATAGTTCAGTAGTTAGTGAATAAACCCCATATTATTTAATAAACTTTCCCTGGGTGCACACTATAGTGAAATGTGCTACCTCATCCTATGATTCTCATCAGATTTATAAAAAGTTATGAAGATCTGTGGATGTAAATTCACAATGTGCCAAGTAAATAATTTAACAACTCAGTTAACCCGAAAACATTAGCATCAGGTGAAGACTTTAACTATGTTACATGCGTCAACTGTGAGGCAAACTAAAAAAGTACATTTGCAGTGATTTCACTATACACAGTCCACCGTATTTGCGCCAATGTTTGGGAGGGTGTTTCTTCAGTTTTGTATGTTTTTCCTGTGGGAAACTGGCTGCAATGTGCGAAACGGATTCCTGAAAACCTTCAACTTTTAGCAGGAATGTGTGGACATCAAACATATGTATCCAATAAAATATTACATACTTACATGCCTGTGTTTATCATTTAGAAATTGCCACATTTTAAATTTAAAATTCAAGTCCAAAAATGCATATATTTTTGAATGCATATACTTGTAAAAAAAATATGCATTTACTAAAAGTTGTACAAATATTTAATAAACCCTAAAAACTTAGCGTGTATCACCTGTAGGATGTGTGTCTGCAGTTAACAAAGGTCCGTCCCTTTTTGCCAGTATTTACTTCCTTGTTAGTGCTTGGTATTGTCTAATCAGATACTTCTCGTAGAGAAGCACTGAGGTCAACTCTCCAGTCCAAAGCTTCATTTGATGTTTCGAGATGTTTTTGATTTAAAAAAAAAAAGATTTTTAATTCCTTATTTGGATGTTACCAGAGCCGAAACAATGGAACATTAGTTGAAATACATTTACTGAAAGTATATTCAATAGAAACTAATAATGCAAAAGTATTACCTACACATTTTGTAGTAGAGAATTAATAAGTAGATTAGATCTGACATTCACCCTACTCTGCTTTAATGTGTTCAAACAGATCCTCATATAGCCATTGCCATAGAAGGTCTTGAAGGAATTTTATTACTTTTTAACCTATTTGTTGATATACCCCTAAAGTAAACATATGTATTGTTTTGCATCTTTTTGGGGAGTATTTAAAATTGACAGCTTGTAAAAGCTACATATCTGTTGACTATAGCCTTTGCAAGAACTCACCTTTTTCCCCAACAGACTTTAAACTTTTCATTGACAAGCCTCTGAGCTGGATTTCCAAGTGTGTTCATGACCACTGCTTTCCAGTGCTTCTCAATGAGCTGTAGTATAGCTCATTGAAAAGGGGTTCTTCTAATACTTGAAAGTACTCTGGAGATATTACTGAGGGAGAGTGAAGTTAGAGTCTTGTCCACCAGAAATCCCCACAATTTGATTTGTGAATCTTCCCACAATAGAATGAGTGTGTATAAGGGGGCACAGTGTGGTACACACATACATGTCCCTCACCTTACAGTAGTGCTCTATGATGTCCATAGCCTTCAGCACAGTTCTTGCACTATCCTACAATGCGGTAAATTTTTTGGTTCGAGTTGCAGTTGAAGTCTTCTAAAAACAGAAGTGGTCGTGAAAGTTGGAGCAACCCTTTAAAGGACCACTATAGGCACCCAGACCACTTCAGCTTAATGAAGTGGTCTGGGTGCCAGGTCCTGCTAGGGTTAACCCTTTTTTTTTTTTTTTTATAAACATAGCAGTTTCAGAGAAACTGCTATGTTTATATTAGGGTTAATCCAGCCTCTAGCGGCTGTCTCATTTACAGCCGCTAGAGGGCTTCCGTGCTTCTCAGTCGTAGCACACATAAGGTTTGCAAAATATACTGTGCAAACTCACTTTGTGTGTCAAAAAGGCAGAAAAAAACACAAATTACCACAGTTGGTACAAGCTATCGGAAAAATGGTCCCACGTCAAGGTTCAAAATATGCCTTTTGAAATACCCTAGGATGTCTTCTTTAAAAAATGGTATGCCTTTATGGGGTAGTTGGATTACAGTTGCAAGAAAAAGTATGTGAACCCTTTGGAATGATATGGATCTCTGCACAAATTGGTCATAAAATGTGATCTGATCACCATCTAAGTCACAACAACAGACAATCACAGTCTGCTTAAACTAATAACACACAAAGAATGAAATGTTGCCATGTTTTTATTGAACACACCATGTAAACATTCACAGTGCAGGTGGAAAAAGTATGTGAACCCCATAGACTAATGACATCTCCAAGAGCTAATTGGAGTGAGATGTCAGCCAACTGGAGTCCAATCAATGAGATGAGATTGGAGGTGTTGGTTACAGCTGCCCTGCCCTATAAAAAACACACACCAGTTCTGGGTTTGCTTTTCACAAGAGGCATTGCCTGATGTAAATGATGCCTCGCATAAAAGAGCTCTCAGAAGACCTACAATTATTATTAATATTTTATTATTTATATAGCGCCAACAAATTAAGAATTGTTGACTTGCATAAAGCTGGAAAGGGTTATAAAAGTATCTCCAAAAGCCTTGCTGTTCATCAGTCCATGGTAAGACAAATTGTCTATAAATGGAGAAAGTTCAGCACTGCTGCTACTCTCCCTAGGAGTGGCCGTCCTGTAAAGATGACTGCAAGAGCACAGCGCAGACTGCTCAATGAGGTGAAGAAGAATCCTAGAGTGTCAGCTAAAGACTTACAAAGTCACTGGCAAATGCTAACATCCCTGTTAGTGAATCTACAATACGTAAAACACTAAACAAGAATGGATTTCATGGGAGGATACCACAGAGGAAGCCACTGCTGTCCAAACAAAACATTGCTGCACGTTTACAGTTTGCACAAGAGCACCTGGATGTTCCACAGCAGTACTGGTAAAATATTTTGTGGACAGATGAAACCAAAGTTGAGTTGTTTGGAAGAAACACACAACACTGTGTGGCGAAAAAAAGGCACAGCACACCAACATCAAAACCTCATCCCAACTGTGAAGTATGGTGGTGGGGGCATCATGGTTTGGGGCTGCTTTGCTGCGTCAGGGCCTGGACGCATTGCTTTCATCGAAGGAAAACTGAATTTCCAAGTTTGTCAAGACATTTTGCAGAAGAACCTAAGGCCATCTGTCTACCAGCTGTAGCTCAACAGAAGATGGGTGTTGCAACAGGACAATGACCCAAAGCATAGAAGTAAATCAACAACAGAATGGCTTAAACAGAAGAAAATACGCCTTCTGAAGTGGCCCAGTCAGAGTCCTGACCTCAACCCGATTAAGATTCTGTGACCTCAAGAAAACGATTCACACCAGACATCCCAAGAATATTGCTGAACTGAAACAGTTCTGTAAAGAGGAATGGTCAAGAATTACTCCTGATCGTTGTGCACGTCTGATCTGCAACTACAGGAAACATTTGGTTGAAGTTATTGCTGCCAAAGGAGGTTCAACCAGTTATTAAATACAAGGATTCACATACTTTTCCCACCTGCTCTGTGAATGTTTACATGGTGTGTTCAATAAAAACATTGCAGCATTTCATTCTTTGTGTGTTATTAGTTTAAGCAGACTGTGATTGTCTATTGTTGTGACTTAGATGATGATCAGATCACATTTTATGACCAATTTGTGCAGAAATCCATATCATTCCAAAGGGTTCACATACTTTTTCTTGCAACTGTATTTAGCCTGCTAAAATGGGACATGGACACAGTGTAAAAAGTCAAAGTTTGCAGAAACTGGAATGACTGTGTCTCAAATGTGCTCCTTCCATGTCCACATATACCTGGCAAAGGTACTTATGGGGGGTATTGCTGTACTCAGACGACATAGCTGAGAAACATATGAAGTATTATACAGTCGTAGGACGCATAATGTTTGCAAAATATACTGTGCAAACTCACTTGGTGTGTCAAAAAGGCAGAAAAAATGCTTATTACCACTACACTTGGTACAAGCTAGCCGAAAAATTATCACACGCTAAGGTTCAAAATATACCTTTTGAAATACCCTGGGATGTCTTCTTTAAGAAATGGTATGGCTTTATGGGGTATTTGGATTATATAGCGTGGTAAAATACTCTAAAATGGGACATGGACACAGTGTAAAAAGTCAAAGTTTGAAGAAACTGGAATGACTGTGTCTCAAATATGCCCCTCCGATGTCCACATATACCTGGCAAAGGTACATACAGGGGTATTGCTGTACTCAGCCAACATAGCTGAGCAACATATTAAGTATTATACAGTCGTAGCACACATACGATTTGCAAAATATACTGTGCAAACTCACTTTGTGCGTTAAAAAGGCAGAAAAAATGCTTATTACCACTACACTTGGTACAAGCTAGCGGAAAATGTATCCCACGCTAAGGTTCAAAATATGCCTTTTCAAATACCCTGGGATGTCTTCTTTAAGAAATGGTAAACACTACACATAAGCTGAAGAAAAATTAGGGCTGGTGAACCAGCCTGTTCAACTGAAGCTGACATCTATATACACAGTGAGTTCAGTGCCACGCAATGTGCAGTGTCACTCTACAGACATCACTACACTAATATAATAATCTGACAAGCTGCTCGGGACCTTTTTGTTACTCACTCACTCACTAAATATGTATGCATGTATTTTAATGTTAATCGCAGTTACTAGCTCACTTCAGGTTATCTGTACAAATCAAGCAGATTACAACTAATGAGCCGTAACATACTACTTTGTAGCCAAGCTGACTCTCGTTATAGGTTTGTTTAACATTCCAATATATCTAAAATGTGCACGTCTTTCTATTACCCTACTCTGACCCATGAAACCAAGTCAGAGGAATGCCGTCGGGGTACCTCAGGCATGTATGTATAACCCTTTGCACGCCCACCTCCCCCAAAAAAAAAGAAACGGTATGACTTTATGGTGTAGTTGTAATATATAGCCTGCTCAAGTGCTCCAAAGTGGGACACGGACGCATCAAAACCCTCAATTAAAATTCACACTTAAAAACCTGAACTTGTCACGTCTCTTTTACAGCACTGTAACGTTAAAAAATAGTGTCTAGGTCATACATTGGGCATATTGTTTTACTCAGAAGGTGTAAGTGAGTATAATTTGGGGATTTTTATTACAGTGGTAAATATTAAGTGTAAGAAATAATCTAACATATATGTAAAAATGCCATTTTCCCCTCCCCTCACCACAAACATTGACATAAATTGGTGAAAAAATGGTGACAAGTTAAGGCACAATATACACCATATAAGATACCCTGGGGTGTCTGCTTTATAAACTTAAAGCCCTTTGTGGGGTTATTTGAACAGTCACACCGCTATAATACCCTAAAATGAGACATAGGCCCATCAAATCCATCTACGAAAATTCTAACTATAGAAACTGAAATAGCCTTGTCTCTTATATGGCACTGTAGCATCACAGAAAAGTGCCAAAGGCATACAATGGGGGTATCGTTATACTCAGTAGATGTAGCTGAACACAGTATGGGGTTCTGTGCAGGAATAGCACACACCAGCTTTACAAAATACACATTACAAAAACCCTGTTTTATGTGTATATGCCAAAATAGAGAAAAAACACAATTTTACTCCAATATTTAGCAGAGATTGGCGATGAAATGGCTACGTAAAAAGTGTAAAACTAACCATAGGTAAATAGCCTTTGATGTCTACTTTATATAAATATATACTTTTGTGTGGCAATTTTGTTTTCTGTGATGGCTACTAAACCTACAAGACAAACATACCAAATTCTAAAATTGCTGCAAATTGAAATTTTATTTTAGTCCTTGTATTTTGTGACCTGTAGCTAGGGATCAACCGATATATAGATTTTTTTTAGTGCCGATACCGATAATCTGTGAACATTTGCCATTTTGAAAAAATAAACTAATTCTATAGGTAAATACACAAAATATACAGGCCACATGTAGTGGATGAAGTTTAGTGTTTAGACAGGGGAGCTGTGTGTGTTTGTGTAGTGGATGCAGTCAGGGGCGTATTAGCCGCGAGGCAAACAAGGCATTTGCCTTGGGCGGCATTTTTCAGGGGGCGGCAAAAAACGCCGCCCAAGGGCAAATGCCTAGTTAGCCTTGCGGCTAACTGACATCCCAAGCGGGCGGGCGGCGCTGGCAGGCGGGCGGGTGGCTGCCGAGGGAGCTCTTCCCCTGAGCTGACTGCTCAGCTCCCTCGCGCACCGCAGAGTGAGGCTGGGAGCCAGAAGATGACGTCATCTTCCGGCTCCCAGCCTCACTCTGCAGCCGGCGCGCGAGGGAGCTGAGCAGTCAGCTCATAGGGAAGTGCTCCCTCGCCGGCCGCCCACCTGCAGCGCCACTGGACCACCAGGGAGAGAGACCCCCCCCAGCACTCCCAAAGGTAAGGAGGTTGGGGGGGATTTAAATAAAAAAAAAAGTTAATGTGTGTGTGTGTCTGACTATGTGTGTGTGTGTGTATTTGTGTCTGACTGTGTGTGTGTGTTTGTGCCTGACTCTGTGTGTGTGTTTGTGTCTGATTGTGTATGTGTGTGTGTTTGTGTCTGACTGTGTGTGTGTTTGTGTCTGTGTCTGAGTGTGTGTGTGTGTGTTTGTCTGTGTGTGTTTGTGTCTGACGGTGTGTGTTTGTGTCTGACTGTGTGTGTGCGTAAAGTCTGACTGTGTGTGTGTATTTAGAAGGTGGGGCGGGGGTGGCGCGGGGGGAGGGGGGCGCCTGAGTTTTGTCCTGCCTAGGGCAGCACAAAACCAGGATACACCACTGGGTACTGTTATACTTGTGAGACTTTGTTAAACACAAATATGAGTGTTTTAGAACACTACAACTTGTTATGATGACAATATCATCAGTAAAAGTGCAATTTTTGTGTGAAAAATGAAAAAAAAAATAGGAAAACTAACTTTGGCTAGGATTAAGTGGCTACTACGAAAGACCGGACTTAGCCAATTCTGAATAACCTGGGTTGTCTACTTTTATGAATAGTATGCCATGATGGGGATAATTCTCATTCCTGGGCCGCCATTTGGTTCCAAAACCCCATAAAACCTGTACATATAGGGTACTGTTGTACTGGTAAGACTTCGTTGAACACAAATATGAGTGTTTAAGATATGTGACGAACTGAGCCTTGTCACATGTTCTTGGAGGGACCTGCTGACCAGCCTCTTACCGAAAGACTATGGGCCCTTTAAGAAAAACTATGTGAACAGACTTCGATCGTGCAAATGTATATTTGGTCGGAAACCAAATAGCCGCACGAACCAGAGACCACCCTGGAACTTGTTAACATCTATTAACAACTTGGAACGTTTCTCACCACAGTGTTCTAAGTGTTCATCTAGGTGGCCGCAATTCCTATGAACAACCACGAGGTGGCCGCTATCTTGGTCCCGCGAACACAGGCAGCGGTGTTTAGGCATGAATCTCATGGAACTGAAAACGGACACAGAAACTCCCGAACACCACTGGACTTCCAGCATCCCCTGTGTTCGGTTCTACAACACTTAGAAAGGCGCTGTTCGGTGGAAACATTCCCACGAACAAGGGGAACAAGCTCCAGGGTAAGAACATTGACTGTTTGGTAGTTTGTTTCAGTTTTTAAACTACCGAACTAGATTGACCGCAATCCCTGATTCTCTGGAACTGTTTTGGGCATGGGACCATACGTGCGGTCGGTCAAATTATGACTTCCAGGAAATTCCTGAACCCCTGAACTGATCTGGGTGATTTTTGGATGTGTTGGTCACCCAGATCAGCACTATCAGGGGATGTAGCCTTTGTGGGGATTTTGTGTGTTTTAAGGTATTTTGGGGGTTTTGTAAAAATGTATGTTTTCTGTGCCTGGAGATAATTGAGTTTAATACAGTGCTTGACTAAATTATCTCCCAGGCACTATTTTGTATGGGAGTGTGTATGTTCTTACTGTAGTCTAGTCTCAGGTCCAAGGGGAAGTGCAGAGATCAGTGACACTTTATTATTTAAATATTTATTGCACTTTTTAAAGTGAACCTGCGTCATCTCATTCACTTGGGATTGTATTAATCATTAGTGCACTCACCGTGTCTGGGACCAGATCTCACGGTCCAGGATGGCTGCAGTTGTGATGGTCCCTGTCTGAGGGTCAATGCGGAACAAATCTTTCATAAGCCCTGATGGGTCCAATGCATAGGTCACCTGACCATTCAGCCCTTGGTCTGGGTCCTCGGCAACAACCTGAAAAAGGGAACTAAAGCATGACTGTGTCATAGCTCACCTCTGGACATTTATCCATTACTTCCCTTTACCCATCAATCTCCCCGCTGGGTGGGAGTATTTACCCATCAATCTCCCTGCTGGGTGGGAGTATTTACCCGTCAATCTCCCCGCTGGCTGGGAGTATTTACCCATCAATCTCCCTGCTGGGTGGGAGTATTTACCCGTCAATCTCCCCGCTGGGTGGGAGTATTTACCCATCAATCTCCCCACTGGGTGGGAGTATTTACCCGTCAATCTCCCTGTTGGGTGGGAGTATTTACCAGTCAATCTCCCCGCTGGGTGGGAGTATTTACCCGTCTATCTCCCTGCTGGGTGGGAGTATTTACCTGTCAATCTTTCTGCTGGGTGGGAGTATTTACCCGTATATCTCCCTGCTGGGTTTGAGTATCTACCCGTCTATCTCCCCGCTGGGTGGGAGTATTTACTCGTATATCTCCCTGCTGGGTGGGAGTATTTACCCGTATATCTCCACGCTGGGTGGGAGTATTTACCCCGTCTATCTCCCTGCTGGCTAGGAGGGTTTATGTCACTCCCCGGAAGAAGGTTATAATAGGTTATGTCACTCCCCGGAAGAAGGCGTGTTTGTAGTTGCAGTCTGGGGTCCTTTACCTGTATAATGTGGCTGCCATCAGCCTGTGCCTCCCAGATGTGGGCCGTGTAGTGCGGCAGCTGGAAGCGCGGCGTGTTGTCATTGACATCCTGTAGAATGACGGTTAGCACAGTGAAGCTGTAATGTTGTGGGGTCTCTGCCTGTATGACAAGTCTCTGCCGCGGGTTCCATTCATAATCCAATAACAGCGGCTGCTGCACTGTGATCTGACCTGTACGGGTAGACATGCATGTATTGAATCAACGTATCATACGCGCTACGTGGACACTTTATTAGTAAACCCAGGGATTAACGTCACATTACACCATTGTCAGGATTCTGCTTACTTATTCCTATATCGAACAAAGATGTTTTTGTGAGAATCTCACCAATTTCATGAAATTAAATGGAGAAATCTCCAACTATTTATCGTGTAACTGGGCCCCTCCATCTTAGCTCCCTGTCAATCATTGTTATAAGCTCCGCCCTTTACACCTGGCAGTCAGTATAGAGAGAGCCACCTCCATCTTAGCTCCCTGTCAATCATTGTTATAAGCCCTGCCCATTACACCTGGCAGTCAGTATAGAGAGAGCCACCTCCATCTTAGCTCCCCTGTCAATCATTGTTATAAGCTCCAGCCTTTACACCTGGCAGCTGCAGTATAGAGAGAGTCGCCCATCTTTAGTTCTGTCAATCATTGCTATAAGCTCCCACTTTTACACCTGGCAGTCAGTATAGAGAGACACCTCCATCTTAGCTCCCTGTCAATCATTGTTATAAGCCCTACCTTTACACCTGGCAGTCAGTATAGAGAGCATTACCTCCATCTTAGTTCCTGTCAATCATTGTTATAAGCTCCTTTTACACCTGGCAACAGTATGTCTAGAGAGAGCCACCTCCATCCTAGCTCCCTGTCCGTCATTGTTATAAGCTCCGCCCTTTACACCTGGCAGTCAGTATAGAGAGAGCCGCCTCCATCTTAGCTCCCTGTCAATCATTGTTATAAGCTCCACCCTTTACACCTGGCAGTCAGTATAGAGAGAGCCGCTTCCATCTTAGCTCCCTGTCAATCATTGTTATAAGCTCCGCCCTTTACACCTGGCAGTCAGTATAGAGAGAGTCGCCTCCATCTTAGCTCCCTGTCAATCATTGTTATAAACTCCGCCCTTTACACCTGGCAGTCAGTATAGAGAGAGCCATCTCCATCTTAGCTCCCTGTCAATCATTGTTATAAGCTCTGCCCATCACACCTGGCAGTCAGTATAGAGAGAGCCACCTCCGTCTTAGCTCCCTGTCAATCATTGTTATAAGCTCCGCCCTTTACACCTGGCAGTCAGTACAGAGAGAGCCACCTCCATCTTAGCTCCCTGTCAATCATTGTTGATCAGGAACCAGCTCCCAGTGGATGAACCTCTCCTAAATCCAGAGAGCGTAGCAGGAACAAATCAAGCTCTTACAAGAGCTTACTCTGGGGAGTAAGTGATTATAGCAATCCCCAGAGTGTAGGTATCCCTTCCCCCAAGCATGAGCAAAGACTTCAAGAAAGGTGCAAGTAGGTCTGGTTTATTGAGGGCTACCTGCCCGGTATTTATGCAAGTGTCCACCAGATGGACACTCCCCTAGGGGACCTGATGGAACAATGGGACACATATTGGATATTAGCCAATCACAGACAATACAAACAAAACACTCCCACAATGACATCACAATCCCTCCTCTCTATCCTGGAGATAATTGGGAAGTAATCAAATTATCTCCCAGGACAGAGGCAAGACTCCATTAACCACATGGTTACAAAAAGACATAAAATTACACAATGTTACAATTACTACATAAAACATATACATGCAACATATCCCCAGATAGCTTAGATCTGAGCGCACATTATTACCAAATGGCACTCAGATCACATACATAGAGTTCAATCGCCATGGAGCCAAAGTCTTTTCCATAGTCTTTCGTTACACGAATAGGCTCCATGGCATAGCTATCTGGTGTAGCACTACTCACATACTGAAAGTCCCGAACGCCCTGGCAGAAATACACAAATAAACCTTTCTGCAGGGTAAAATACCGCTATCAGCACAGGGGCCATAGTCGGAAGGCTGGAGGCTAGCCAGTAGTCCCCTCCAGGCACAAGTGGCGAAGGGCACTTCGTCACACCATATAATATAACTCCTCAAAGATTAAAAAGATGATGAAACTGCCAAATGAGCTGGTTTCATGTTTATTTACTGCAGTCTCTATAGTACACTGGGACTGGTGCAATAAACAAGGCGAGAAGCACGTCTGAGGCAAAGCACTGGCGAGCGCCTTGGAATCCACGTGTCTTACGCCCCTGACGTAGATGATATTCAGGTTTCCCTCCTTTTTAGATAAAAACA